CCGGGGACCTGGTGGCGGCGGCGGCGGCGGCGGTGGCGGCGGCGGCTGTTGACGGCCGCTTAACAACACCCTGATGATAATCCAATGCGCTTGCGTAGCAGTGTACGGCACCTGTGGCGGAGGAGCACCACGGGGCCAACGGAGCCCGCGCCACAGACGAAGACGCCGCCGGTACGGCAGTGGATGTCGCGGCGGGATCTGATGACGGCGGCGGCGGCGCCTTAAGGCCGCCCTGGAGCGCCAGTCCCAGCAGTACGCGGCAGCTTAGCGTGACGGCATAGAGCCCCACGGCGTCTATGTGCTCGTCCAGAACGCCGTACAGTTGCTCCAGGGATGTAGCTGTCAGGATACTTTCCTCCAGTTGCTGTTGCCGCCGCCGCAGCAGCTGCTTGGCGTCACCTGCCGCCGCCCGCGGCTCCGTTGGACTCTCCCCTGCCAGACCCCCCCGACCCGGTAACACCTCCACCGCCGCCACCGGGCGCTGCGAATACCCGGAATCAGATTGATACAGCGGTTGTGTTTGTTGCTGTTGTTGTTGCTGTTGTTGTTGTGGTTGTTGTTGTGGTTGTTGTTGTGGTTGTTGCTGTTGTTGCTGTTGCTGTTGTTGCTGTTGTTGTGGTGGTGGTGGTGGTGGTTGCAGTACGCGGCCGGCAGCCAGGGGCCCCGAGAGGACGTGTGGCGGGGCCGTTGTGGCGGGCGCCAAGACCCGGGATACGGCCGTTGCCGCATTGGGGTTTGTTGACACCATTAGGGCGGGCGCTGCAGACTCCCGCATGGTGGTTGTGGCGGTTGTGGTGGTGGTTTCCACGGAGGTACTGGCGGTTGCGGTGGTTGGTATGGTGGTTGTGGTGGCGGCTATGCCCACCGACAACGAACTTGCCGTCGCCGGAGGGGCTCCCCGGGGGTTGGCCGCCCGCAATATCTGTTTGTACGGCAGGTCGGCACGGCGGGAGCATGAGGTCGACAGTTGACAGTTGACACGGGGGGCAATATTGTGTTGGTGTCAGGGGACCGGGGTGGAGCTCAGAGAGGGCGACCTGGGGGTGTGCTGTTGTTGTTATTGTTGTTGTGGAAATGGTGCTGGTAATGGTGGAGGTGTTGGGTCAGTGTCGGGGAAGAGATTCCCCCACAGGGCTATAATGCAGCAAATCCACCAAAATCCCCCCTCCCTCCCCTTCCCCTCCTTCCCCCCTCCCCATTCTCCCTCCTCCCCCCCTTCCTCCTCCCCTTTCCCCCTTCAGCAGTACCAAACAAGCCGATATGGAAATGGAGATCTAAGTATTAGGGGCACGAAGGTCCACACGCACCTGCAGCAGCACGGCCGGCACAGCTCCCCTCCCGCCTTCCCCACCACTCGCATCCCCATCCCCATCCACATTCGCAGCCCCGGATCTGAAGCTGAAGGTGGAGCTGAACGCGGCGAGCGGCGGCGGGGACGCGGGGGCGGCCCCCACCTGGCCCCCGGCTCCTCGCCCCCACCCGGGGGTCCACATCGGGGTTGCGGACGTCCCTCCCAATGGTGCTGCTGCTACTGCTGCTGCTACTACTGGAGGGTGGGCCAAGTGCTCCGGCGGTATTATGTCCCCCGTGTCGAGTACACCCGACCCCGCGCCCACATCTGGGGGGGCCCCCGGTGGCTCTGTAACCCCCCTTCCCGGGGCGACCCGCGACCCCCCCGTCACCGTCACCGCCGCCCCAGGACACCGCGACATCCCCCCTCCCCGAGCTGCCTCCGCTGCTGCTGTAGCTGCTACTGCCGACCTGACGCTGACGGTTCCTCGCCGACTCACCAACACCGTCGGACGGAAGGCGGCGGCATCGGCAGTGGCGGCGGCTGTAGCATGGCGTTGCCGCTGTACGGCACCGGCAGTGGCAACATCGCAATCACGCTGGTGGTGGGGTGGTGTGTTTCCGCGAGGATACGGGACGTGGTGGTGGTGGCCGCCGCCGCCGCCGCCAGCACTGCCTGAGCCTGCTGGACCTGGGCCGGCGCCGGGCTGTGTGCTCCTCATGGGGGGGAAGGGAGATAGCTGTGGTCCAGATGGCCGGTGCTGCAGCCGCTGTCCCCCCGGCCCCGGCCCCGCACTCGTCTTCCGGTCGCCACCGGCCGTCCCCCCCGGGCTGGGGGACCCCCGCGGCACCAGGGCAGCCAACAGGCGGTTTCGGAGCCGCAGCCTCTCCAGACGGCTCAGAAGGCGGCTCCCCGATCTGTTTGGGGGGTTGTCGCGGATTGGTTGGCTGTTAGAACGAGGCGCGGGAAGAGAGACACCTCATCGGGGTGGACATAGCGGCGTTTCGCCGTGCGGGATGCCGTATTAACCGTACATCACGTACCCGTGTCCCGGCGCGTCCCCTCTGGGCCCAGCATTCCGCCTGCACCTGAAGTCGATCGCGGATGCACCCGCACCCACTCGCCCAACTGCCCCCTAAGATCCCCCCCACAACCCGATCCCCAATACCTAGCCGCCGTCGCCGTCGCTGGTCCTGGCGGAGGCAGCGGAGGTCGCCACCACCAGCGCCGCGACCCCACCGGCGATACACCACCACTCCACTCCTACAGTCGCCACCCCTACAACGCATTGGGGCTCCCCCACAAATTTCCTTAATCCACCCCCCTACACACGTACACACACACACCGCACGCATGGGAACCACATGTCAGACTCTGCTTGTGCCACTTTCCCGCCTCACCCCCTCAGGCCCCCTCAGGCCCCACCTGCGCACTAGCCTCGTGGGCCGGAACCCCGCCAGCAGCCGGGCGACGGAGGGCGGGGCGGGACGGGACAGCTCCGGAACAGCTCCAAACCCCACCTGCCCACCTCCCCCATAGCCACCACGGCCAGATAGACTGCCGCCTCCTCCACCCGGACTGCTTTCAACGACACCACCATCATCACCACCACCACTACCGCCAGAAAGAGCTGCTGGAGCTGCCCCTGCCGCTGCCGCTGCTGCTGCTGTCGGGGCCGCCGCTGTTTCTCCCCTTGAAGCAGGATACTTGTGTGTTTGTGGCCCCTGTCCGATTTGGCGGGAACCGGCAGTAGCGGCGCCTGACGGCGCTACAGCCCCTCGCGGCGCCGTCGTAGCGACTGTGGGTAAGGAGCTCCTCAACGAGGGAGGTTTCGTCCCGCCCGCACTTCCGACTCCGCTGCTGCTACTGCCCCCCCTACTGCTGCTGCTGCTACCGGCCTGTGCGTGCGAGTGCGGGTTGTGCGGGGAGAGCTCCGAGTCCCCGAGGGGGGTCCTGTCCCCGCTGGTTCCCATTCCTCGCAGCGAGGAGCCCCCCAGCTCACACGGATATCGCTGCGTCTGTGACGACTGCTGCTGCTGCTGCTGCTGGTGGTGGTGCCGGCGGTGGTGGTGATCGTGATTGTGGGTATCGCGGTGGTGGTCTGTAGCGGCTCCGGCGGGTTGCTGGACCTGGGGGCGCTGAGGTAGCGGATACCGTTGCCGCTGCTGCTGCTCCCCCAGCGTATGTGGCCGCTGCTGCTGCTCCCCCAGCGTATGCGGCCCCTGCTGGTTGTTTATGGCTGGGGCATTGGGGGGTTCGGCAGCCTGGGGGCGCTGCTGCTGCCCCTGCGGACGTCCTCTCTGAGCGCGCTGCAGTTCTGCTCCAGCTATTTGCAAAACGGGCGACGATTCGCCTTCCCCTCCCCCTCCCCCTCCCCCTCCGCCCGGCTCCGTCCTCCCGGGTCCCTCCAGGGGGGGCTGTCCCCGGGTGGACACGTCCGCCGTACAGCCTGATCCCGTGTTACTGGAGCCTCGACGAATCTGGCTACTGCTGCTGCCGGTCATTGCCAAACTCAGCATCCCTTGCTCAACCCAACGGCCGCCACCGCTTAGCTTGGTGCTGCTGCTGCTACTGCTGCTACTGCCATGCGGTGGTTCGTCTGCCAGCCCATGACCCGGCGGCGGGGCACGCGGGGCCACTTGCAGGTGCTGATGTGACAAGGGCAGAGGTAGCGGCAAAGGCAGACGCACGTCGGCGCCGCAGCTGTCGCGGCCCTGCAGAACCAGATTGATCAAACCGCTAGACACCACCACGTGGGATACGGCAAACCGTACTGGGGGCTTATGGGGGCTGCGGGGGAGCTCCAGGGGGGCGTCCTCCTCCACTTGGAGGATCCGCCCCGCGGGGCGAGGCCCGAGGGCGGGTTGGCCTGACCACAGAAATGGCGGCCAGGCTATGGCCTCACCTCCGGAGCGCAAGTCCAGAAGAGAGGGCGGATGGGCGGTAGAGGAACCGGTACAGTCGCAGCGGACTTGCTGCCGGGAATTTTTTACGCTGCTGTGGCTGTTGACTGCGCCCAGGAAGTTTCTCCGGGCAAGATGGGGCTGGCGATCGGACGTGGATGCGCTTGCCGGAGGAGTGCCAGGGGATGAGGATGTGAGGGAACGGCTGGGGAGTATAGCTGGAGGTAGGGCCGTGGGGAACTGGGAGTTGGATGCCGCGCCTGGGACAGTGCTGCCGCGACTGCGTGTTGACGCGGCGGCAAATGTGACGGCATCGGAACGACAGGTACTGGTAGGTGCACCGGTAGGAGTCAGTGCCGTGTCGGCCGAGGTGCCGATAGGGCGCCGCGGTGTAAAGTGATGACCGTTGCATGACTGAAGCTGTGGCCGAGTCGGCGCCATGATGCGAGAGTATAACTACAGCTCAGCCACCCATCGAAACAAATGATTGGATTAAGACTTCCATCCTGATACTAAAAATGATGACGACGGCATATGTGCGTGCCCTAGAGAGTGTCGGCGCTCCACTTCGGGTTAGCTGACTGCGGCCCTACCAGGCGAATAATAGCATTAGAAAATGTATGCAATTGTGTCATGCATTGGGAGATGCTCCTAGATGCATTACATCACCAGAAGCCAGGCCTTGCGACAACTGCCTCCGTGTACAACAGTTCTCGATGAAATTGTCGCAAGCTGTGTCTCCCACATTCCATAACCTTGGCGAAACTATTATAAACTATTTTCATAATATCTTGCACTGTTACACGTCTTCAAAATTCGTCGCAGAATTATTATGACTAGAGCCACCTGTCAGAAGTTGACAATACGCAAGATATACAATAGTGAAGTCGGTTCCGTATAATAATTAGCCATGGGTCAGGAACACTTACCTTCTGTTGACTTAGATTTTGTCAAGCACGCTGAAGATGAGTATCACAGCATCTACCAAACCGGAACCAGCGATGAGGTGGACGGAGCACGGTTCAGGTGAGGAGTCCATTCAAAAGTAATAGCGCCTAAAGCAAGCTGGCCAAGAGACTCCCTAACTTGTAGGTTGGTATGGGCACTAGTTCACAGCACCAATCGCAGCCATCAATCTCGCGGTCTGGAGCTCTGCCGGGCTAAGCTGAGAGAGCAGGCGAAGGACAAGGAATTCCGCTACTTCGCAGCTGGTAAGGCCACCGGTTTTGTTGAGGAAGTTGGAGGCGGTTTTGGGAACTCGAGGGACGCCCGTGCTCCTCTCACGAGGTTACAGACCGCCTTCCCTTATTCGTGCAAGACCTCGACAAACGCGTCGCAGTCTTATGTAAGAATACGTACCTAGTATTTTGGCCTCGCATCGTAATAGTCGTCGTGGAGCCACCAACACCCGCCGCCTACCGTTCCGTCCGTCGGCCACTCTTTCCCCCGTTGCCGCAGTGGCGTCCTACAACCTGGGCCAGTACATTGAAGCGCGGCGGGAGCTCTCCTCGCTGCTGCAGGTAGGAATGGAAAGGTAGGGGGAGGGAGTACGAGTACGGTGCTGCAAGTCCGTTGAGGCACGGCCCCATGGCCTACCCTAGCGCGGCTCCCTATTCCCCATCCAAACCTCCCCCAACCCCCCGGGGGCCAGCCCCCGGGCCAAAGGCTGTATTACATAATACTGCCATCATGCTGCAATTGAGCCAAGCCCAAATGAGTCTTCCTCCGGCTGCCCCTGGAGCATCCCCTTCTGCCAGCCCGCCTGGCCGCCACCAGCTGCTGCAACCGGGCCTGGCTGCAGCCGCCGATGACATGAGCCGTGGCTGCTCTGGCCTTCCTCCTACACCCTTTTTTGACCGTCATACCTTTCCCCGTGCCTTAACCCCTCAGCTCCAGTCACCTTCGCCGCATTTTTTCCCACGCCCCCAAATGGTCCATTGCGGACTTTGAACTTAGATCTGGCCTTGGTGACCAGATGCCCCTTCCATATCACATCCACAAAACCCTGTTGTTCTCCATGATGCCATTGCCATCCCCATCATCATCACCATTATCATCTTCACCGTCACCCTCTCCTCCCCCACCGCGCCCCTGCTGTTGCCTAATTAGGAGCACCCGGGCTTCCGCCAGGCGGAGTTCCTCCGGGGCCTGGTTGAGGACGCCATCGTACGGGAGGGGCTGCTGGGGGTGGGCATTGGTGCGGCTCTTGCGGGGGTGGCTCTGGCCATATTTCTGGGGGGTTCGGGGAGGAGGCACTGAGAGGAGGTGTGCGTGTGTGTAGCTGGGGTATGGATGTGAGGGGTGCTGAGGCGTTCATACAGGTTCCGGGATCGAGACCTGTCAGGGTCGAAAATCCTTCCGATGGTTGAAGGTACGAGTGTCCCTAGTCGATGGACGGTGGTGACCTGGGATAAAGTTGACCTGCGAGCCGACCAGGAATGGAGCTGGGCCGCCGTTGATCCGGCAGATTCCGTTGGATGCCGGTGGTGGGTGCGGAACCCGAGCGATCCACTGAGACGTTTGTTAGGACGGATGAGTGTGCCCCGAAATACCGGGGAAGGCAGGGTTTCGCAGGGTAGCTGCCACGGGTAATGATATGCCCCCTGTCCCATACATCATACATACATACATACATACATACATACATACATACATACATACACACGCAGAGGGAATATCCCCGAAATATGTCGGCGCAGCTTGGGAGGTGGGGCTGGGGGGGCTGGTGACGGGGAAAGGGGGAGAGGGGTAAACCTGGAGCTGGGATGTGTTTTACCTAAGCCCTTTCCTTAGTCCCTTTCATGCAGCCACACACACCCCGCCGCCTCCCCTCTTACTGACTGGACTCACCAGCAGTAGGGTGTGTGGGGCAGGGGGAAGGGGACTAAGGGAGTGTCGGGAACCACGAATAGGCGCTACCGTACTTCGGAGCTGCAGCCGTCACTTCGGTCAACACTCTGTCCATCGTCCTCATGTCCCTCAGCTGAGAGTCGCTGTCTGCGGCACTGTCTGTGTGGAGTGCGGTGGTGGAGGTAGCCGTATCAATCAGGAGAACGAACGAATGGATGTACATGGAGGGTGGATGAAAAGAATCATCCGATGACTGCACAAAGAAAGTCCATCAGCGCCCGGCCCATCAGCAACACGCCGACTTACCAGTGAGGTGACTACCTCAGAACGGAATGGTAAACCTAAGGACTGAATGAGTACGGGAGGAGCGTGGGGGCGCGCTGCTGCCCGTGATGCTCCTCTACCATGTCCTCCTCACGGGCGTACGGAGCTAAAGCTAAAGTTGTGTTGGGGCAGGTGTGTGTGTATGTGTATGTATGTCTGCGGGTTTGCTCCTCAACACCGATATTGAGATTTCGGTCCTTGTGTTGGTATTCGCGGTGGTTCCGGAGGAGATGTACTCTACTGGGACGTTGTACATCCCACCATGCTGCATCTGCATCAGTGGTACTGTCTGCTACGGTGCAGCTCCCTCCCGGATCCCGCCCCACCCCACCCCGCCCCACCCAGGCGCCCTGGGGACACTGCCCCCCTACCCTTACACGTGATATCCTACCTGGACTTCACTCGAGTGCTGCGGCAGCCCCGTATGGCTAAGCGCTGCCCCAACCCCCCATCAAAGTACCCACCATTATTCGGATTACACACACACACACACAGGCTGTGCCCCCTTCACCGCGCAGCAATAACTAGCAACCTCGAGTTTGAACCGGATCAGTGGGGGGACTCTGTTCAGGAGCTGTTGCCAGGCGACCTGGTTCGACCTCTTGGCGGAGGAGGGCAGTGGCCTCCTGTCGCGAGCTGTAACTCCGAGCGGATCTCCTGCTGACAGTGCTACTACTGACAGTGCTGCTGGTGGTGGTGGTGGTGGTGGTGGTGGTGGTGGTGATTGAACATTGTGCATAAAAGACCCTGACAGAGAGCTTGTCAGCCCCTTAATCAAGGACACTGCACTTACGACCGGCAGTATACTCATTATTTCTTCCTGATCACCGCCACACCAGCCAGGGGAGCCCAACTGGCTGCCTTGCCTCTTCTCCACATCCGCAAACAGACATCGACCGACAGCTAAAATCCACAGACAGCGCCCTCAGCTCTGATCGATAGAACCACCGCAGTCACTACCAGTCCCTACAACAGCGCCACCCTCCAACCCCTCATACACCCCCCGATGTCCACCGACATGGGAAACTGTCGGTCCGTCTGTAAGTCCGTCCTAACGGTGCTGCTGACAACCACGAGGCAAACCCCGCAGTACCAACAACAACAACAACAACATTATCATAACCAGGCGGAGAGGTCCGCCCAGAGAGAGACGACGACTATGCCCCTCATAAGCCGTTCCTCTCGCCCTCCCTTCCCCTCTTTAAGACGGCAAGGCAGGACGAGCTGTATCTCCCACCCACCCACATAACCCCCCTTACAGGAACCTGCGAGCATGGTATGCAAAAAGATAATATCAAGCGAGAAATGTGCCCCCCACGCCCCACCCCCACCCCACCAACCCTACAGCGTTGGACCGAAGGAGGACGAGACGGAGGATGACTGAACCTGCAACAGGAAGCTGGAAAGGCCCGAAGAGACTGAAACTGGGGAGGTCCAGTAGCACCCCCCGGGGGGCCTCCCATCCGTGCTTCCTCCCCCCCTGGCCCTTCACTTAAGGAAAATGTGTGGGGTGTACGGCGATGGACGGCGATGACGGCAATAGCAAGAATGAACGGCGAGAGCATTGGCCCACAAAATACAACCCTCGTAAACCCCTCCAAAACCATTTCCCCCCTCCCCCCAAAACCCTCCACACTACCGCGCAAACGGAGCAAGTGCTGCAGCAGGAACAATGCAAACGGAAACAAGGACGCGCTGGTTGGCATCAGCGGCTGAGAGAGTCACCATCAGCGGCAATGTATTTGCCGTTCTCCGACCTTCTGATGAGGAATACCCCTTTCCATCCCCCAATGCGAGTTGGAATAATGCGGACCCCCCCTCGCGCCCCTCAGCCGCAATCCCCCCCCCACACACACATCCTCTCACCTACCTGCCAAGTGGTAGGCTATCCCCTAATGGCACCTCGCCGCATTTCCCCCCCCTATCCCCCATTGCAGCGCCGCCGCAAATAAATCAAACCGCACCACCAGCGGGGCCACCAGGACAGACACGTAACACTACAGCGCTGCACCGCGCGTCCCAAGAAGACGACACATCGCCACAAAAGAAGCTGTTCACAAAACACAGCAACGTGCTTAGTCGAATAAACAGGCGGTGGGCGGGTGAGTGGGTGTTTGGGTACGGCCTGCCTGTACGTCAGCCAGCCCAACAACTACCTCAACCCCTTCTCCACACATACACACACACACACACGCACCTCAACGCTCAAAACAATCCTCGATAAACATGCACACATGTACACATCGTATCTGTTGCCTCCGCGTCCCCACCCTGAATCCCTCACATCCACCCACAGCCGGAACCGCCCACCGCCGCCGCCGCCGCCGCTACAGTCCCCTCCGGCCCCATCGCCGGCGGCGCCGCACCTGCCATCGTCGCCGCCGTGGCGGCGGCACCGTACGGCGTGAGCTGCCGGTAGTACGGCTCTTTGAGGTCGAATTTGCCGCTGGAGGTCTGCGGCGGCTGGCCTGGCTGCAGCGGCGGCGCCGTCAGCGTCAGGTAGATGTCGTACGACTGTCGTGCATGCGCAACGAGGTGGAGCTGTCCGGTGATCCGAGTGTTGGGGGAGGTGACAACCAGCGGGTGCTGCAGTACACAGCGCAACTGAAACCTGTGGGGATGGACCCGTTTGGAATTGGGGCCCTACTTAGCTTTGGACGAGGAATGGGGTTGGCCACGTATGGCCATGCGGGCCATACGAGAGACAGAGAGACAGACAGAACACACACAGACAGACAGACAGCAGCAGCAGCCGGGGGAAGTGAGGGGTTTCCCCTCCCCCGTTCACCGTCCCCACCTCAACAGCCACTGTTTCTGGTCGCCACAGATGTCATGTCCCATCCGGGGATTAACATTTAACTCGCCCAGCACCGCACAGCCATATATACATACATACAGCCATACACATTCCCGGGCCTAGCCTGACCGTCTCACCAGTGGGTGGTAGGCATCCCTGGCGCAGTGGTTAGCCACACGGGCTGTTGGGACCCGGCGAAAAACACATCTGGGGGGGGGGGTCGGGAGTGCCGGGGGGGGGAGTCTGAGGTTACGGGGGCCTGTACGGGATACAGGCAGCAGGAATAGAAGAGATACGATCTTAATGTACGGCGACCTGGTGGGAGCTGCGACCAGCGCCCGACGTACCGCCTGTGGCGGTCGCCCCCCTACTGATAATGGTGGGGGATGTGCGGAGGAGGGGTAAGACAGGGGGGGTCATACGAACCACTGACGAGTTAAGCAGGTGCCAGAAATAAACGGTTACTCCAGAATTACACAGAAACGGCATCAGGAGTCTTGGTAAACAGCTAGGAGGGGAGGGGGCCCGCGGGTGCGTGCACGTGTATGTGTATGTGGAGTCTCGGTCCCCAACTCACCAGTACCTGCGTACCGCATGCACGTCTCCCCCCCCAGCCGGCGAACCAGCACTACACCTACCAGCCATCAACCCCCGGAGGCCCCCTCGCACTGGCAGGCCCCCTCGCAAGTGGCTTTCGGGTGCTCAGCTGCCCGACCACTCCCTAGCCCCTCTCATCGGGTGCTACCCCAACCCTAAAAACACACAAAACTCTCCCCCTCCCCCCCTCCTCCCTCCCCCCCCCCTCTCCCCGGGCACTCACCAAACCAGCACGCCAGCCCGTGTATCGTCACGGGGGCCACCGGACCCGTCACCAACTGTGGGTGGGCAAACAGAAACAACCACCAACCAATTATCCAACCGACAACCGGTGTCGTGTCCACGTCGACACCGAAGGGACAGGGGAACAGCCGTCAGTAAAGGAGCGGCGGTTCGTAAGCGGTTGACTAGCGGTTAGGGTCCGGGCAGACAGACAACCAGACAGGTAGGTAAGCATCAGGACGAGAGGGTATCAGCTTAACTACCTGCCGTACTGCCTGACCGTGGATTCACTCGCAACTGGCAGTACGGCGTCTCACACACCCCCAGACGGCCTCTAATCCCCCCAAACCCAAAATCCATACCCCACCCCAAAACCCTAAAACCCAAACCTTCCCCCCTCATCCCCCCTCCCCTCTCTACTCATCGCACATGATCCCCCCTTTCTCCCACTACTACTCTTACACACACCCCTGGACTATATCTGTCTATCTCTGGTATCTGCTTCACTCGTCAGTGGTTCGCCGTACTTCTCCACCCGGGCCCCCAGGCACCTGCAGCGGCATGTCGATATCCAGCAACTCGCTCTCCGCAACGTGGCCAAAGTCCAGTGCCCGGGTCGCACAGCTCGTGACCAGCAGCGCGGGGTCGAACGCGTCCACCACCACCTGGCCGAAGTAGCCCTCAGAGGCCGCCGAGTGGAGCGAGGTGACGTCAACGCCGTAGAAGGACGGCTGCAGCCAGAACGCCGACTTGGCGGCGATCTCGCTGTGGAGCACGTTGTCGCTGAAGCAGGCTGGCGGCGGGTGAGAGGTGTACGTGCGTGTCGCGAGTGTGCGTATTGTGTATGTATGTATATGTATGCATGTATGTATGTATGTGAGGAAGCTGCTCCCCGTGATACGGCATGGCATGGTGACATGGCGCGGTGGGGTGGTCGGGGACACGTGCGGGTATTGCAGCCGCACATCGGGGCCGGGGGCTTAGGGTTGCGGGGGGTGGTGTGATGGGGGGAGGGTTTGGAGCAGACAGGCAGGGGGGAGGAGGGGGAGGAGGGAACAGATGTTGCTCGTACATTTGGCATTTATTGACTGGTGCCCCGTCCCCAAACCACATACACACACACAAAGATACATACATACATACATACATACATACAGCGGATTAGGGTGTCCCTCTAGCAGGGGAGAGCAGGGAGCTGCCTCGGGAAAGGGGGCCGCTGGTGAAGCTATACCACCACCCTGTAACGACATACATACAGCGGGTAAGGGGGAGTCCCCTCACCTGCATGAATGCGACCCAGCTGGGGGAACATCTTGCCGCCGGGCTTCAGAAAGGCGTCTCGGGCGTAGATGTACGACTCAAGCATCCGCTCGTTGACCAGTAAAGTGCCCATGGGCTCCGAAACCAGTACGTCAACCCGCTCTGTGATGGACGGGTATTTTTTGATGTTGTGAGGAAGGGTATGTACGTATGTATGTACCGTATTGCCGCTAATGTTTTTTACGCTAATGTTATTACAACCAAAAAAGGACTTTTCTGCGCTAAAACATTTGCAAAAAGGGTTTCTTGCAATTTGTTCGCCTGCATGAAAGGTCCACAGACGCGGCAGCTGGCTGCCAAGTAGAGCTGCCGCAGCTGGTCAGCTGTCACACCATCAGAGGGCAGAGCCCTGCACGTCCCTTAACAGACTCATCCCGCCAAAACCCCGCCAAGACTGCGTCTGTACGAGGTTTCCCGCCTGGGAACTAACTTTTACAAAGTCGTCAGGATTTTTTAAAAACATTCTTTTATTAGGTTTTCCTAAAAACGGGAGAACTATAAAAAAATTTATTGTTATGTCATGTTAAATCAGTCATAAAAACATTTGCGGCAATACGGCATCTACGTATACATAGCGGGTAAGGGAGTAAGGGGGTAAGGGGGATGGGAAAGACCACATCTGGAAAAAGGTAATCGTGGCAATGTGTACGGACGTACGCCATCAGAAGTCATCATCCGCAGTTTGCAGCCCTGGTCTCCTCCCCCCCCCCAAACCACCTCCTCCCCACAGGTGATGGTGGGAGGAACCCTAAAACCCCCTTTACAAACCGAACCCCGACGCCCCCCCTAGCCAGTGGGTGTACGCCATTACCCCTCCCTCACCGTTGAACCGGCCCCCGCCACCTTCCACCCCAAAACCCTAAAACCCACACAGGGCCCCCATCCCTCCCCTCCCCCCATTTTCCCCCTCCCATCCGCCCTCTTAGGACTCAATCGGGCCTCTTGAACACTGACCACTTTCCCGCACATGATTCCCTTCCCCCACCCCACCCCACCCCTCCCCACCCCACCAGGCAGCGCGACCTCCTCTACTTTGGAGCTGATGACGGTGATACGGCCGCCCAAGGCCGGGTTGGCGTCTGCCAGCATCCGGGCGAATTTGGCCATCCCACTCGCCTCCACCGCATACACACGTGCCGCCCCGGCCTGTACGGCGAACAGCGACAGGATGCCGCTCCCGGCCCCCACATCCATCACCACTCGTCCGCGAAAGTCCTCTGGGTTGCCCACGATGGCGCTGTAGTAGGTGCCGGTGCGTGTGTAGTCCTGTATTGGGTATGTGTATGTGTGTATGTATGTATGTGTGTGTGGGGGGAGAGGTAGGGATAGGTACTGGGGTCAGTGGCATCCGGAGCAGTAGCAGCAGCGGGAGGGCAGAGGGTCAGGTAGTGGACTTCGCTATGAAAATGAACTTGTGTCTGCGTGTATGTATGTATGTTGTTACAGGGTGGTTAACTTCGCCAGCGGCCCCCTTTCCCGGGGCAGTCCCTGCTCTCCCCTGCTAGAGGGGCACCCTAATCCGTCACCCCATCCGACTTCAGAATGTATTCGTTGGGTTCGGCAACTCACCACCAGCATCCAACCAAATCTAGCGGATCAACGGCGCATCAACTTAGTTCCTGGTCAGCTCGCAAGTTGATATTATCACGTCCTACACCGTCCATATGATGGGGGGCCACCTCCCATTTCATCACTCCTCAAACACCCGAGGAGCTGGCAGGCGGATTTGAACCCGGGTCGACTGGATCGACTGGGAGCAGAAGTCAGGCCTTAACTTCTGCCAGCCGCCTGCCTATATGTATGTATGTATGAGTGTGTAATACATACCTCCTCCTCAACCTCTTAAAGCCTTCTTATTTCCCCCCCCCCCCACACACACACACCGAGACTCTCTCCCCTCCTCTTCAGCCCGCCCTCTTCCTTCATCCCATCGTACAACACTAAAACCCAAATCCGCCCCGCCAACCCCCCCAATCCCGCCGACCCCCACCCTCCCCACCCCCCCCCGCACCTGCAACATGTTTTGTTGATGTTGCAACATCCCATAGTAATGGAAGTACATGTCCGAGGAGGCGCGACAAATCTTACGGTCGAAGTGATTCACAGCCGCCGCCGCCGCCGCCGCAGCAGCAGCAGTGGGTTGGGCCGCGCTCTGAAACCGGGAGCCCTCCTCACCATCACCATCACCACCACCACCGCCTCGCTGCTGCTGCTGCGGCGGCGGGTGCTGATTTTCCCCGGGTTTTGCGGGTTTGCCTTGGGCCCCCGTCTCCTCCCCCGCCGCGGGCGGGTGAAGAGGACTTCGCAGCGGCGGCTGCGGCGAAGGCGGTGGCGCCGTCCCCTGGACCCCGGGATAAGGCCCTGCTTCTGCCTCCGCTACTGCCGCTGCTCCGTCTGGTTGGTTTGTCAGTGGCGGTGGTCCGGGACCAGCTCCGGAACCATTCCCCGCCCCACAGGGGCCCACAGAGGGCCTTTCCCCCGCTCCCGTACTGACACCGATTCCGGGAGCCGGCAGCCCCGCCAGGCTACTGCCTCCTCCTCCTTCTGATGCTGCTACTGCTGCTGCTGTTTGGTGGTGGTGGTGGTGTCCGGGGGAGGGAGGTGGCAGTAGCTGGAGCCCCGGGGATCTGGGAGCCGACCAGCCCAATCCCAAACCCGCCCCCGGCCCGACTCCAGGTGTTGCTACTGCGAAGCAGTTATGGTGGTTGTAGTCGAGCAGATGGCAGTAGCTGGTCGCGGCCGTACGGGTTGGTTCCGCGGACCCGTTGGCGTCCGTTGCAGCAGCTACCCCAGGGGGTGCTGCTGCTGCTGCTACTGCCGCTGGGTTGTTGGTGGCGGCGGGGTGTGGCGGGTGTGAGGTCGCCGCCAGCGCCGCTTCAAGGGCCGATTGCAGCTGATCGGCAACTGACTTGCTCGGACATTGTACGGCATACACGCCGCCGGGACCTCCAGGGAGGGGGCTGACGAAGAAGAGCGCGGCGCCGGCCCTCCACGCCTGGTGGTGGTTGTAGTCGGCACGTGAAGGGGGAGATACATGAGAGGGGAGGCGGCGAGAGGAGGAGACATGGGAATATGTGGGCGCGTGGGGAGGTGGCGCCGCCTCGCAAATGGTGACGAGGTCACAGGCGGTAGGCGGATTACGAGGAGCTGGAAGCGAAACGGGAAACGGGAGGGCGGCCTGCGCCTGAGGCCCTAGGGCCCGGAAAACCCAGTCAACGCGCGCAAATAGGTTGTGCTTTACAGTGCAGCACAACAACAGAAACGCGGAGGTTGGGTGCGGGAGAAGGGCCGAAGAGGTGTGGGTGTGTGGGTGCTTGTGTGTGTCATAGGAGACAGCTGCTGGCGGCTGGGTGGGCACGGCAGGGATGGGGAGGCAGTAGCAAGGGCAGGATAGGGGAACGGAAGATCCCTGGATAGGGTCTGCGCACCGTGTGGCCGGAAAGGACACACTGCATGAAGGAGCTGCCGGACGCCTGGTTCTCCATCTGTATGACAGGCGCCGCATCCCCAGCCCTCGTAATGACCAGCTTGGCGTCGTGGGCCGCCTCTACAACCAAAAATTGCTATGGAGTTAATAGTTCCACACATTATGCTTGCATGAGGGAATTTTATCATCCTTACCCCACATAATAACACCACTTTCTGGGTGCATGGAAGCAATACGCAAGCCAGGAAACGCGTTGCCGCTAGTGACCGAAGACATGACTGTTTCACCCGAGATTGTCATTTCCTTACATTTAGCCGTCAGTCAAGGAGCACTTGCACACAGCAGCCTTGCAAGACAGCCTCAGGACGGCGCCGTCAAAAATCATCCGAGTAAGTTCTCATCATCACATGACAGTGAACAAAGACTATTCCTTTGTAATGTACGGAGCGCCTGGCAGGCCAGAGCATAGGACCGTTAGTCGCTCGCTCCGAGACCAGTCCTGCCTTGGTCCCAATACCCTAAAAGAACCTGGCGAATCCTATTCTGGCCCGCACCTACATTATTACTAATATACTCTAGATTTAACATTAGAGCAGCAGCCCAGCATCTGGTCGTGTGTCTCATGAAAATGGCGCGCAAAAGCATTGCGCTGTTCGTAACCACACTATGTATCCTTAGCGTGGTCGCTCTTGGCGCAAAGAAATCAACAGATAGACTCATTTTAGCCTTGAGAAAGGTGTGCGGCACAGCGGCAGGCACCAGTTCGTGCTGTGACGTGCGACGGTTGCCGACGGTTGCACCGGGGGTCGTCCCGTCAGTTGACATACAGGCTTTTCGTCCTGAACCAACGTTTTGGTTTTAATGTTTCAGTCAATAAACCTCTATAGAACATACCTGATTGTCCGCTTTCGATTTAGTGTTGCCTCACTGACTGCACGAGCACTCACAACAAACCTCGCGCATTTTCTCCTTCCTTCTCGCAGCGTATCCTTGCGACTGTTGTTGAGGAGCTCAGCGTGAAAGGCCTGGACATCAATTTGCCCGACTCCTCGCATCGGCTACCTCTTGCGGAAGCAGTCCGCTCTCGGGATGTTCGGGCTGTGATGGCACTGCTGGAGCAAGGGGCCCTTGCCAGGTGCCATGAGCCTGGCTCCGGAACCACTCCGCTCCATTTGGCCTTCCAATTCAATCTGCCGAACATCGCTCGGGCTCTGCTGGCGCATGGTGCCGACCCAAATGCCGTAAGCCCACTCGTGTTCCGCAGCTGCGCTGCTGGCTGCTGCCGTTGTTCTCCGGGCATGCCACAAACAATAAGCGCATGGAGGACTTTTGACTCTGTGTGCACTCAAAGGCACTTTGCTTAAATCCTGCTGCTCCTTTCACTGCGTGCACACCATTACATAGCACTTTGAACCCACGGTGCTAATTTGCACACCCCCGCATCCCGCTTCCGCGTTCCCAACCTATTTGCGTACTGCACCGTACACCCTGGTCTGGTTTACAGAAGGACAGGTCCGGCGTGCCCGCCCGCAAGCTCGTACCCCTCAGCAGTAGCACCACCCGCGGCAGCAGTAGCAGCACCGCCCGGGGGAACATTTCCGAACTCATTTCACTGTACGACACTCGGGGCTCAATGGCCTTTGAATCGGCGCCTGGTTCGTGGCTGAAGGAGGACAGGCCGGGGGGTGAGGCCGGGGGGGTTTGTACGACGGGGGAAAGTTCAGGATGGTGGAGTAGGTGGAGGGCGGGGGAAGTTATGCTGGAGCGGTTCCTCCCTCCCGCCCGCCCTCCCTCTGGGGCCCCAGGGCTTCCGAAATGTACTCCATTCATCCATATGTTTGCGAGCTGACCAGGAACTAAGTTGAGGCGCCGTTGATCGGCTAGATTTGGTTGGATGCTGGTGGTGAGTTGCTGAACCCAACGAATACATCCTGAAGTCGGATGGGGTGAACGGATAAGGGTGCCCCTCTAGCAGGGGAGAGAAGGGAACTGCCTCGGGAAAGGGGGCCGCTGGTGAAGCTTAACCACCCTGTAACGACATATGTGCCTTACCGGTAGTGCCGATTGCAGCTTCCCAACCCCCCTGGAGAGCCGCTTCCCGCGAGGGTGGCTTTCCTTCCTTTGGGACACATTCCTTGTCATGTCCGTATGTCAGTAGGTTTGTCCATTCGTCAGTCCGTCAGCGACGAAACCCAGCGCGTGTCCCCTTCCGCCCACTTTGCCTCCCTCTTTAGGCTGCTTACCTCCACTACGCCATTCTAACTGCAGCCGTACATGTACATACACACACGGTTCGGGTGCCTCAACCCCCCTTCATCCCTTGATCCTGCCTCGTTTTCCTCTTCAGGAGCACTGCAGATCGTTTGTAAACTTCACCGGTTCCCCCCCTTGCATGTCCCATCATCTCGCCTCCCGGTATCTTTACCCCCCTACCCCCCTTCCTAACCCCCCTTCCCCCCTCCTAACCCCCCTTCCCCCCTCCTAACCCCCCTCCTAACCCCCCTCCTAACCCCCCTCCTAACCCCCCTCCTAACCCCTCCTAACCCCCCCCAGGCTCCACCTACTACTGGAGCCCCAGCACGAGGGAGTCCAGGTGGACACCGCCGCCCTCGTGCGCCTGGCAGAGGGTTACCATACAGGGACATCCCGTAAGGTGTGTATGTATGTATGTATGTATGTATGTATGTATGTATGTAGCGGGGGAGAGGGTTGAGGGAAAGGGAAGGAAAAGGAAGGAGAAATGATGTGCCATAAACCCGCCCGCCTCCCCGTTACTGCCGCCTCCCCTCTATTCCCCGCTCGTCCCGCAGGTACATTAACACGGTGACAGGTCAACAGCTCACCTCCCTCCCACCCGCACTCTCCTGGACACGACTGCGCTCCGAAACCGACAATGGATCTCAGCTACTTTGGTACAACTGGGCCGTACAAGTCTCATCAACCGCCACACCAGCCGAGCTTCCTCCCGACATGCTCGCCCAACTGGCCGTACAGGTCAATGTACGGTGGTACAATCCAACCACCGGGCAGTACAGCTATACAGATCCGGTGTACTCCACTCCGTGGAGGGAGCTCACGGACGAGGGTGAGTGGGGGGGGGGTCTGGTGGTTGGGTTGGGGAAAGGTGGGGCCAGCGAAGGAGGGGGGGCCGCTGTGCGGGGCTAGGATGGGTGTTTCGGCAAAGATGGGTTGGGGTAGGATGGGGTGGGGTGGGGTGAGTGCGCGTGCTAATGGGCCTCAGACCCACACAGAGCGGGGGGAAGGTGGGAGTACGGCAAAGGCAAGTACGGCAAAGACACTCCTATGGATGCATAGGGGGTAGTCCCCCAGTCCCAAGGTTAGCGGCATCTTGCAGAGCTACTGAGAAATTCCCCCCCTCAATCCTCCTCACTACGCACTTCTCCCGCTGCTGCTACTGCTACTGCTACCCGCATCTCTCCCCCGTCGTACTGCTACAGCCACATCTCGGCCCTACTACTTCAACGTTGACACGAGAGAGAGCTTGTGGGAGGCCCCCGAGGAGCTGTGTTGGGTGAAAATGGAGATCAGTGACACATCCGGGGCGGGGGAGGGGGAGGGGGAGGGGGACAGAGCGATGCGTGGTAGTGTGGGGGTTGGTAGTTGGGCTGCACGGCAGTACTTTTACAACCGGCGCAGCGGTGAGGTGTCCTGGACCGCACCCGCGTCCGGTCCGCTGGCCTTCGTGCCCTACGCATCGGAGCTGTGAGTGGACCGCTACCGCACTCACCCGCCAAGACCAACCCCGGGTGGCTGGGTTATATACCTGAATGCCCGGACGTCCATACTTCATCAAGGAATTGCGTATGATATATAATATTATAATAATAATTCCCATACCGGTTGCTTGTTTGGGTTGCATACGTATGCGCGCTTTGGGTCAAAGATCGGTCAGCAGGCAATTATGGAAGGCAGCCGCCTTCAAAGCGGTCTCAGCACCATCTTATTGGCCACACAGTTGGCTAGCGGCCAGGACTATCAAGCAGCCTGAAGAGGCAAACAGGATATCATTATGGCTGGTTGATGCAAACCCCAGTTGCGGGTGCGAGGCGAAGTGCATTCCTGCTCGCAAAGTAGCAAGAAATCGCAAGATCTCGACCATCTTTATACACGGACACATATGTGATTCAGTTTTCCGCACCTGATGAAAAAATGGGAGGAATATTGAACCAATATTAGTACAGCATACTGTATGCTTGCAACAAGTAACAAGTTACAAGTTCCGCACACAAGTGCGGGTGCGTCCGTAAAAGCCCAGGGGCCCATGGACGTTATATTGGTATTGATGCGGGTACGCGGGAGGCCATCATCATCCCAGATTTCCGAGAGGTACCTGGCCAATGCCAGGGGTGGCGCCTTAGGGGTTATTTATCTGCTTACCCGAAACCACCTGTGTGTTGATAACTTGAAGTTGTACTTGAGACGCATCTCAGCTGAAACATACCTTTTAAGGTGCGGTCTAACACCCACAAATCCTAGGCCTAATCACCGCTGCTGCAGCACATTTACACAAGTACCTCAACCAGCAGGGGCTGCACCCGCCGCAAACAATCACTCTGCTTGGCAGCTGAGAGCGGACGTTACGCACACCGCCTAGAGGAAACCTTCACTTCGGTCCGCCCAGAAAGTGCTTTGGTGCGGCGCTTTTAAAGCCTGCAGCAGGAAGCTATTTGCTAGCGCTTGAGAAGAAGTTAGATGGCAGGGTGAGGAAGCACCAGGTGGTGGTGCTGCGCTTCCTCGAGAGCTTGCATTCCACGGTTACACTTGGGGCACTTGGAGCGACAGCACATAATCATCGAATATACGAACTGGTACAACGACTGGAGAAAACAGCACACGAAGCGGAGGTGGTGTGAAATAATCTTCCACTTGTTGACCGTGTCGTTCATATGATCCAACAAACAAGGCGGCCCCGCATAATAGTGCCACACTGGCGGATGGGGTTCGCTAGTCCTCCGTTTTCTGTGTTTTCCTGTCTAGGATGTGACGTACGGGAAGAGGCCCCGTAAGGGCTACGCGAGGCAGGTGGGCGAGAGGGAAATAGCTAATGGACAGGCCGTTGGCCGGCAGGTGTGGTATCGGAGTTGAAGGGTCAGTCGATGAGCGGTTGGAAGCATACGCGTCTAGATGTCCAACCAGACGTGTACCCGTGTCAGAAGGCAAGCAACCGGGAATTCACATGGCGAAATATAAGCATTGGATGGGTCTGGCAGCTGAGCAAAAGCGGGCAGGAAGGAGGTGCCCAGGGCGCATATCACAATGTTTATCCCTCGTTCAGCGAGGGAATTGTAAGCTTATGCAGCTCAGGCTTTGCTGTTGGGCATTGGCAGCAAATCAGAGCAAACAAGAGACGGCGTTGTACACCTGCTTGTAGGGAGGAGCGGGTATGCCCCTGCTGCGGCACTGATAGCCATATTGAAGATAAGAAGCACGTTTTGCTCGACTGTCCGGCGTACGACAAAATCAGATCTGATATGGATTTTCCGCGCTTCGAGCATGTAAAGGACGCTAGAAAGTGGGAACCTGAACGTCTGGCAAGGATGCTGGAACGTATATGTTCCCACCGCAGCTCCATTGTTCCCTTTGGTCGTTAGTTTCCTTTATCACTTGCTTTGTCTGAAGTGCGAGGTTGGACGGTGCTTATAGGTAGCCCTTGAGCCCTCAGCTCGTATTGGGCGGTTTGCAGGTACGGGGAACGCACCCCACGACCATGTAACACACACACACACACACACACCCTACACTATAGAAGAGTGTGGTGAAGGAAAAAATCCATTCCACGCTGCCATATGATGATGATGGGCAACTCTCATAATGTCGTAAGCACTCACTCACGAAAGGAATAACCCAGAAGTTAAATCTTTAAATATCTCAACATCCGCAAACACTTAATGAAGCGAACGTACGACGACTGCTCATCACCTTACAGAACTGACGCGACTAAACACCAAAACTGTATACGCATTTTCAGAGAGACGTTGACTTGGTTGAAGGAAAATGGTTAATTGGACGTGACGCTTAAATGACGTGACAATGGGCCCCCCTCAACACAAGGCAAGCCGGGGAGTGTGATTGAAATACAAGATAGGCCGTACGTGCAGTAATATGATAGGCCGTACGTGCAGTAATATGATAGGCCGTACGTGCAGTAATATGATAGGCCGTACGTGCAGTAATATGATAGGCCGTACGTGCAGTAATATGATAGGCCGTACGTGCAGTAATATGATAGGCCGTACGTGCAGTAATATGATAGGCCGTACGTGCAGTAATATGATAGGCCGTACGTGCAGTAATATGATAGGCCGTACGTGCAGTAATATGATAGGCCGTACGTGCAGTAATATGATAGGCCGTACGTGCAGTAATATGATAGGCCGTAAGTACAGTTCATAGGATGTTATTCGTATAGAAGGCTGGATAAACGTTTTCCTCGTGCGCTCATATGATGTCCACCTATTTCTGTCAGCCCTCGACCCTTGCGCTCCTTAAGGTCCGGTCCCTCATCACGGCTCCAGGGGTGGGACCCCGTGACGGCCCCTCCGGAGGTTAACACAGCTCCAAGAGGTGGTATAACATACATACATACATACATACAGACAGACATACACACAGACATACACACAGACATTGTCTCCTCCTAAGTATCCCTCCCTCTCCCCTCAAGCATATGCCACTTCATGTGTGTGGATCCACCTATGGAGGACAACTTGGGGTGTCTAAATGTATGTACTTCCTCTCCATGGTCAGATCCAAATCCAATTAGAGGTCAAAAAAATGAAGTCTGAAATCTGAACACCGCGACTCCGGAATAGATTATTGACAAACACAGACATACATATATACATATGCGCTCAGCCAGTTCCCGCTACCGCCACAGGCAACACCACCTCCCCCACCCCCTCCGCTGCACTACCCCCCCGTTGCTGCTTCGCAGCCCGACTGGGTACCGACCAAACCCGGTGTACGACAAGCAGTACTCCTAAGGGGCCGAGCACCACATTGTAGGCCTGAGGGGGGTTCGAGGGGGGGTTCGAGGGGACGGGGTGCGGGAGGGAGGGAGGGAGGAGCCGCGGGGCTGGTGGTGGTGGAGGTACTCTGAAAGGACCAAAACCATGCGACATGAACTTTGAAGCAGCAGGCCGCATGCGGCAGTCCGGGACACCGCCACCGCCACCGCCACCGCCACCGCCACCGCCACCCGGGGCGAGGTAACCGGTCCGCTGCCCGACATGTCACCACAACACTTCCCCACAGAAGAACATGGGGGGCTGCTGGAAACGAGGCAAATGCCGTGTGTAGCAGTAGCATACTGCTGCATTGCAGTAGCATAGTGAATGGCGGGTTTCGGAGCTCTCAACTTACGCTTTCGCAGGTGTGCAGCAACGGTACCGGGAGTCTCGCATCCCCCGGAGGGGGGAAAGCGTTGGGTTGGGTGAGCAAGGGGAGGCGAGGAAGAGGGAGCGGGGGGTGTAGCCGGGTAAGGATGGGGACCTCCTCCGCCCATTCCACAAAACTCACAACACGACACCAACGAAGCCATGACCCTTGTGTTTCCCCCCTCCCCTCTCCCCCTTCCCAAAAAACCCACCCCCACCGTGAATACGAGCCAGTTGATGTACATCTTGTCCTGCAGTGCGCCGAAAAAGATTGTACGGAATCCGCGTACTCCGTAGAAGAACGGCAGCCCCTAAGAAGTAACAGGGAGAGGGAAGGGGGTAAAAACACACATATACACACACGCAAGGTCCGCGGGGTGGGGGTGGGGGGAATTCATTTGGATAGGAGGGCACCACATCACATACTGCGGGTGTTTGCGGACTCATGGAATCAGGTAAGGTCGTACAGTAATCTCCCATGTGGGCGGGCTGGTACACATGATCACGTATGGTGTACGACGTACGATGTACGACCGAACAGGAGCACAAAACACAAACACATGCTTTACGCATCTCTGACTGACAAAACCCAACCCGGCCAAAACACACACGGTCAGCACCGGGTAACCCCGCTGTTCCCCTCCTTCCCCCCCTCCTCCAGCCTCGCCACCCCGTCACGATCCCCCTCCCGTCCGGCCCTTGGGGGGTCGTTGTCACCTTGCCGATGTAGAAGAAGCGGTTGGACAGGTCCGTGCTCAGGACGCCTGACGCTGACGTGAGCTGCAGAATGAGCAGCAGGGCCGATATGGAGGAGAACCGTTCAATACCCATAACGTGAAGCAACACCGCGTTGATGGAAACAAACGACCAGGACATGTACCTGTACGGCAGTGGGCGTGGAATGCAGTGGGGCCGGGGATGGAGGGGATGGGGGCTGGGTGTTACCTTGGGGTTTTAGTTTAGTGCCCGAGAGTGAGGTAAGGACGTCCCCCCCTGGAGGGAAGGAAGTCCTGAGCACCTGTCACCTGACACCTGACGACCGCCCGCAACCCCACCCCCCAACCCCAACCCCACCCCCAACCCCGCAGCACTCTTTCCTTGGCAGCAGCTTCACTCGCTCGTGGTTCGCCTTTTCCCCCTCCGCCTCCCCCTCCCCCCCACTTTCCCGCCAAACTCTCCAAACTCCGGAACCTCAAAAACCCATGTGCCCCAGTTCCCTGGCATTGAGTGAGGAGGAGGAAACAGGTGTAGCGGGGGTTGCTCGTATGTATGTATGTACGTATGTATGTATTTTCATATGTACGTACATATGTATGTATGTATGTATGTATGTATGTATGTTTACGGAGGGGCCCGGTTTCATGTGCCGTGTCTTTCTTTATTTTGGTGGAGGTGGTCGCTGCCGCTGCAAAAACAACACGTGCATACATACATACACACGTACACACACAACCCGACATCCACCACTGCCCCCCATGCTAATCAGTTAGAGAATATAACGGCACCCGGATGGCGACATCACATCACGTCACGTCACATGACCTCCAGCAAACCACAAAGACGACATCTCAGGAGGGGCTCCCCCCAGTCGTAACCCCCTCCCTCCCCCGCCCGCCAGCCGGGGGGGGTATTTCCCCCCGCCCCCCACCCCCCACCCAAAACATCTCACCACCCAAAGGCCATGGCATATCCGGGGTTTAAGTGCCATTGCTCCGTACCCCGACCGAGAGCGAACAGCACCACACACAGCAGCACCACCTGGGGGGGATGAGGGGGGGGAGAAGGGGTTGGCGGAGGGGGGGAAACCGACGGAGGGGGTACGGAAAGGGTAGGGGGATGAAGGGGGAAAAAGGGGCTGGCCAGTGGGTTGTGTGGAAAGCCGTGGTGATGATTGGCGGGTGGTGGCGGGTGAGCCACCCGTGTTCCTCCCGGCCTGCCCTCCCCCCCCCCCACAAGCACACACCAATGAATGCAAAATGGAACAATCATTACCCCCCCCACCTGCTTCCCCCCGAGCCCCCACCCCCTGGTGGCTCAACTCGGGGGTTTCTGAACACCCCCCACCCAGTCCACCCCGCCACCGCCTCACCAGGACAAACATAAATACAGACGCCACCAACGCCTTCACCAGCACTGCTCGAGCCACCTGACTAAGCCGTACCAGACGGAGAGAAACCACCTCCTCCTCCTCCTCCTGCTGCTGCTGCTGTTGTAGCGAGTTGTTGTTGTTGTTGGTGGTGGTGTTGGTGGTGGTGTCCGCGACCCCCTGGACCACATCTCTAGCTCGCATGTGGTTGCTAGGATTCAGCAATAAGGCCTCGGAGGGCAGTTTGAACTGGTAGCTGGAAACCACCTGTCAATGGAGGGGGGTCGAAAGGGACGGGGGTTAAATCTGGTGGCTCCTGCGTCGGATGTACGGATGGCATGAAGGGGATCTCCGTACGAATTACCCATCACCCGTCGCTAACCCCCCTCCCTCCCTTTCCAGCTTCCCCCGAAAGCCCAAACACCCCCGAAGGCGGACCACCTGAGAAATACACAAGTACACACACACGCCCAAACACACGCCGCGATGACGTCATAGAGCTGGTTTCGAAGCCCAATCCCACCTTCAACCTCCCCTGTCCAAATTGAGTTTCTTTTGCATTCATCAACTTCTTTCCCCGCGGTTGACCCACCCACTAAATCATCACACCCTATACAGCTGCACAGCAGCCCCCTACTCCCCTACCCCCCAGCACCCTGTCTGTCTGTCTGTCTGTCTGTCTGTCAGTCTATCTGACACTTACCACAAATGAGCTACCCAGCCACAACAAGACACAAAATATGTAGGTGGCGAAATGCTGACCGAAGTTGTTGACGGGTGCCAGGTCCACTTGCTGCAGAGATATGCCTGTGCGCGGGGAGAACATGTCCGTGGTGGTTGGGTGTGTGTGTGTGTATTTGTTGGTTTTGGTACGCAGAGTGGTTGACTGGCTGGTGGTTGACTGTTGGACTGCTTGTACTTGCGGTCCCCCCCCGTTTCCCCCCCTCCCCCCTCTACCTGTCGCCAGAAACCCGGGCGACAGCCCCCTCATCACCCCCGGGTTGTTGGCCAGGCCCCAGGTCAGAGAGCTGCTCAGTCCGGGCACCAGCGTGTTGGCGATGATGGCGCTCAGGTACGAGCACGTGCTGTAGTCCCGACCCCGCGCATACACGTATTGGGACACGGGGCGCTGGTGGGCGGGGTAATGAGGGGGGCGGGGTAATGAGGGGGGCGGGGTAATGAGGGCCAACAAAGGAACAACGGAGGGAAAAGGGTAACTACAACCAACAGCTTAAAACCTCAGCCGCCGTACAACTCGTGGGGGACTCTCATGAAGGCGGTCGTTCGCGGTCTCAAGGAGCCCCCCGAGGGAGCTAGCGGCGAATAACAAAGTGCCCTGGGATCTGCCCTCGCCCCCTACCACCACGACATCCCCCTCTCCCCTCCACCCTCCACCCGCCTCCCTCCGAGCCCCCTTGCGCGCCTCCCGCTACAGCCACTCTCTACCCCTCTGCCAGCTCCCCCCTCTACCCCTAAACCCCAACCCACCCACCCCACACACACGCACATACACATACACACAACCCCCTCTCGCAGCTCCCCCCCCTTCTCCCTGGCCCCCACCTGGTTCTGCGGGGCAATGCCCGACCCGGCAAACCAGCTGAGGTACGACGAGGTGAAGGTGGAGGGAAAGTACAGTACCGCCCAGGGACCCCCCTGGAGCACCTTATTGGAGAGCGACTTGGGGGAGGGGGAGGGGAGGCCCGAATTCGGGAACAAGGGGGAGAGGGCGGCGATGAGTACGGCGAGCGGGGGAAAGGTAGGGGGGGGAAATTGACGGGTATGTACGGACGGGAAGGTGACGTGAAGCCAGTGTGAGTTTCGTGAGCAAAGGACCCCGCTACACAACAAAGGGGAGATGGGGGGAGAGAGGAGGGGGTTACAGTCCATCGGTCGCAACGTGGTCGTACGGCACGGCGAAAGACACACACGAAGATAAACACACGAACCGCACACGACGCTCCATCTCCTGGAAGACGAACGTCCCGTCCTCAAAACGCAAAACACGCGTGCGCCCGTATGCATGTACATGTCCTCCACCCCCTAGCCTGGGTCTATCGCCACAACAGCGTCGTACATACTCACACACACACGCGCAACCGTGCCCCAGCCGCTTCCCTTTCCTTTCTTCCATCCCCCGGCTCCCGGCCGCCAAATCGAGAGCCCACCCACCCACCTCCCCTACCACTCATCCACCCACCCACCCACCCACCGCCTCAACTTGCTGCGTTACCCCACCTCCCCTGCCATTTTGAATTTTGGATCTCAAATATCAGGACCTATTTGTAAAGTGGCAGTCGGTCTGTCGGGGGGCCGTTTATTTGGTGGCTCGATTAGCGCTTTCCTGCCATTCAGCTTTTCGACACACACACACTAGTGCCATGTACGACACCCCTTACCGCCAAACACGCCGCCTCCTGCTCCAGTGTGCCACATAACCCTACTCCTGGCACTGCCGTACTGCTCGTCCCAGGACAGGTGCCGTTCTCCCACCGCAGCTTGTCGTACAGCGGATTTGAGGAGTTCCATATGGCGGCGGCCAGTAGCCCCGTGGCCAGGGGAACCGGGGCCTTTCGAGGGGGGGAAGTGTAGGGGGGAGGGAAGGGGAACAGGGGGGGGATGTCGATCGGTTTTAGTTTTATGCAAAGGGGTTTTAGGGTTTAAGTGTGAGGCAGGTGCAAAACCCATTTGCACAGCGCAGCTCGTGCATGTGGGAATGTTTTCTTCCGTGGGCTCCTCAACACCCACAACACCCCCAGAAGCACTGAAGCATGGTCACCACTGACTGACGGCTGGAGGTGCGCAGGTCGCTGACATGGGTGCATAAACCTCCATACACATGCGCCGTACACTTACATACATGCATACATGCATACACACCGACATACATACGCACCAGCTGCGGTAGCAGTGGCGCGAAAGTGGCATTGAGGGAGGTCGCGGGCGGCACCACATCACAATTGAGGACCGTTACATGCAGGTTACTGAGCCGCGTCTGTAAGGGGTGCGAGTGAGAGGGGACGAAGGGGTGGGGTGGAAATTAGGGTTTTAGGGTTTTAGGGGGCCGGCATTACGAAGGAAACACCGGAGAAGTGTAAAGGTTTAAGGAAACAGAGAGTTTTAGGGTTTCGGGCCGGTTTTCATTAGACGAAACGGTGAGAGAAAGGTGTGTATACAGAAAGATGAGATAGGAAGTAGGTTTTAGGATTATATTGACTCTTTTTTCCTGCCGCCCCTTCATTCATTATGAAAAAAGAGGATGGGTTGGGAAATGTTCATGCGGCCGGGGGACAGACAGCCCCGGAAGCACCCGAAAGCGAAACCCGCCGATGGCCGCACCAAAGGGTTCCAGAAGGCCCCGATGTAGAGCCAGCAGAAAGCCCATATTATCAAAATGGCTCCAATGCAAGTGATGAAGAAGGCAGGGGACCAGTAAGGCTTAAAGTATGGTGCTTCCAGCGACTCTTGCTTGAATGGCATTTCATCATTTGGGCTCTTGCTGGGCTCAACTTGCTGGCTTAAGGTGCCTTCCGGTAGAGCTGCTGGCTTGCTATCAGGTTCGTGTTGCGCTTCTACGTCGGTCAGGACTGCTTTGGACGCGACTTCTGCGGAAGGTGCTGCGGCTGCTGTCGGAGGAGCTGTCGGGCGCAATCCGGTATCCTGCTTTCCTTCAACTTGTGGACCATCCATTGTTTCTACTGTGTCACTAGATGGTGTGCTGTTGGGGAGTTGTGGCATCGAGACTTGTCTTACTTACATGTGCCGTTTACTTTGGGCCCCAAGCAATACATGATACACGTTGCACAAGAACAAATGATGCATATTTATTCATGTCGAGAGGCAATGGAGTGAATTGTGCGAACTTCAGCTAGACAGCGATCCTGCGAAGGCATGTTTGAACGATTATGACCAAAGTGCACGAATAAAAAGTGTGACTTCAACTGACTCGCGAAATAAAGTTGACTGGGCAGCACTATAATGTTGACAATATATAGCCATTACTCAGACCTTACGGCTGCAAAGAAGTGAGGTCTCCTCACGGAACAACTGCATCAACAACTTCTGCATTTTGCTGCAATAACGGGGTGACGAAAGTTGATTTGGCTGATTTGAATGCCATATACACGAAAGCTTTGAATACAATTGTGCAATTGTACTATTATCCCGGATTCATGCTGAAGGGATGCTGGCGGCGGCCAGCTTGCGTTGACAGGCGGGCCACGGCTTACGAAAGAGGCAAGAGTGTGTGGCAAGGTGACCTTAAACCCATAGCCTGAACACGTGTTTGTCCTGAGGATGCATTGCCACCGCGACATTGACGTTCTGGAGTTGGGTCCCAACATGTGTTTTGATCGAACAACTGTGGTAAAAAAATTGCCGGTGCATGGAAGGCCCCCTCCCGCCGCAACGACTAGATTATCGCACTGTTCGGCCGCTCTGCGGCCTGTCAAGTTGACCTGTGTTTGACCTGTGCTTGAGACCGGTGGTCCAACACCAGCATCGAAACACTCCACTTCCTCACTTCCCTCAACTTCTTCCCCCCACCCACCTGCCACGTGGCTCCCACGCAGTGATTCTTTTTTCGTGTAGGACGGGTCTCAATTTATTCCAACCTAAGTAACAAAGTTGCTAGGGTTGTCGTAATTTATTCCTTAATTGTAAGGCGCTGAGGGGGGCTTCGCCCCCCCCAGACCCCCCCTTATGGTTACAACTCCCCTCGTAGACCCCAAGAGAGTCACGCACTGAGTTGGCGCGTTTTTTCGTTCGGGTGTGCACACACTCTTCGTGCACATGCGTAGATAGTTCTGGCACTGTTTGTGAGCAGTACGTAAATCCGACCAAGCAAAGGCCCAAAGCAAGCAACCGCATAGCAATCACAGGCCGTCACCCGCCGCGAGTCATTGACCTGTACGTGTTTGGCTATGTGAGGTCCGGTCGTACATGCTGCGATGCCGCGTTGACTCACGGGCGTGATTTTCTTACGGCCCCTCGTATCTATTGTGTGACTGCAAATACTAAAGTTCTGCACACTACGGAGCAATCTGGCAGCAATGGACGTTTTTGGCTGGAGGAATGAAAATGTACGGATCGGCCTCAATTCATTCCTTTTTTCCAAAGGCCGAAATGTCGATTTATTTCTTTGAGGGAATATAAATTACTAAAAAAAACACGTTGCTCCCACGCCGTCCCCTCCCTCCCTTGTGCTGGGTAACGTGCCGGGGCCCCCACTCTACCTCTACCGGGGGGTAGGTACCATGGGACATGGCACCCCCGAGTTCCCCCCTGACATGGCACTTCCCGAACTGAAACCCCCTTCCCAATCACGACCGCAACCTCCCACACTCACCAACTCCCGACACTTCTGTCGTAATAGGTTCTTCTTCTTCTCCCCATTCCCCTGACATACAGATGTACGACATACATGCACATCCTTAACCCCTTTCCCCCTTTCCACGCCTCACAGCCCGGCACCGGCCCGGCAGCAGTAGCAGCAGTAGCAGCAGTAGCAGCTCCGGGCTTCCCACCACCACCTTAAGTAACGCCAGCTACAGCTTCCGCCACCGGCCACTGGCACCGAATCTGAATCCACAGCGGCGACCACAGCCCCCATCTACAGCTACAGCTGCAGCAGCAGGAGGAGGAGCTACAGCCGCATCGAACGCAGCATCGCAGCCACCTGTCGGCGCCTCCCCCGGCGGAGGCGATGTAGCGCCACAGGGCCTCGCTGCTACTGCCGCTACTGCTTCCTCCTCCTTGCCCCCCTCGCTCCCCAAGGACCACAGTCTGGAGCCTTTCCGGGTGGGGCAGGGGCGGGGTGTGCCGGTGGGGGGTATGGAGTGGGGTGTGTGGGGGTGGGGTGGGGGGGTGGGGGCAGCCCGCTGACGTGTCTCACTCCCCGTGTGCCGTTTTCCCCCCTCCCGGTAACCAGGGAGGGTGTGTGAGCCATGGGGTGGTCATGCCATCCCCTGCGCCCCATACCCGCCCCGCGCATACTTGCATCGTACACATTACACGGTACAGAATGCAAGTCCAAAACACACACAGGCGCACACACACACACAGGCACATACACACACAGGCACATACACACACAGGCACACACACAGGCACATACACCCCACCCCACCCCCGCTAGGCCCTAGTGGCGGGTCGTCGCTTCCACTGCACCATGTGCGGCAAGTGCTGCACCGGGGAGGGGGAGATCTGGATGTCGCCGGAGGAGGCCCTCCGCATCGCCCGCCACCTCAACATGTCGCTACAGCGCTTCCTGGATACACACACCAAGCAGTACTCCAAATATAAGGGCTGGAGGATGTTGAAGACGGCGGAGGGCTCGTCGGTGAGGAGGGGGGGAGGGGGGGTGTACGGGGGTAACGGGCAGGGGGTGGGAGGCTGGGAAGGGGGAGGGGGGGGACTGGAGGAGATTGTACGACTGTACGACTGAATGTGAGAGGGAGACGAGGGGAGGATGTGAAGAGGAAACCGGGTTGTGGGGGGAGGATGTGTGTGTGTATGTGTGCACATTTCCCCCGTGTCCCTCGTGCCGCCCTGCCTGCCTGTCCATAGTACCCTTCCTAATACCAACCCCCTCTTCCCCACCCCTCCGTCCCCCCTGTTGTAAGGCCTGCATCTTTTTGGGCTCTGACAACAAGTGCTCCGTACACTCCGTACGACCCAGCCAGTGCTCCACATACCCGTGGTGGCCGGAGCTAACCCATGACAGCGAGTGGGAGTGGGAGAAGGTGAGTGGGGAGGGGGGGGACAGGAGGGGGAAATGGTAAGTGGCCTGCCGTACATGCGATGTACGGTGGTGCGCCTCGCTCGCCCGCTTCGCCCCTAGCGCCGCCCCCCCCCCGTCCCGCCCCGCACCTCCCTCCGGCCCGGAGGTAACGTCCCCTCGCTTTCTCAACGGAATGTTGATGTTGTTAAGGGTGGTTACGCTTCACCAGAGGCCCCCTTTCCCGAGGCAGTTCCCTGCTCTCCCCTGCTAGAGGGGCACCCTAAGCCATTCACCCCATCCGACTTCAGAGTGTACTCTTTGAGTTTGGCAACTCACCACCAGCATCCAACCAAATCTAGCGGATCAACGGCGCCTCAACTTAGTTCCTGGTCAGCTCGCAAGTTGATATTATCACGTCCTACACCGTCCACAAGATGGGGGGCCACCTCCCAATTCACCACCTTTCAAATACCCGAGAGGTCGGCAGGCGGAGTTGAACCCGGACACTCCGGGAGCAGAAGTCGACCTTAACCTCTGCCAGCCGCCTGGAATGTTGTCTGCACCCCAAACCAAACCAAACCAACCCTTACATACATATGTACATACATATGTACGCACCTGCACACAAATTTTCGCTACTGGTGGGTCATTAGCGTTCTTGCACTAACACCACACACACACACACACACAAGGCTGAGGCCCCAGTATGTCCAGATGTCTGTCTGTGTCTAAAGCATGTGCACGTGCACTCCTGTATACATACATACATAGATACACAAACAGAGTTTGGTGATGCTTTCCCGGCCCTCACCCCCTCCTCCTGCTCCCCACTCACCCGCGTCCACTCGGCATCCCGTCCGGGTCCACCAATGGGTGCCGCAACACCCCCCGACCCCCCCCCCGAGCTTGTCGTCCTCAGTAAGCCTCACCCCCCCCCAACATTCCTCCAACGACACACACACACACACACACCTTCCCCCCCCTTCAGGCCAACGTGTGCGAGGGGTTCGACCACCCGGAAGCCGGGGCCCTGGACGAGGAGGAGGCGGCGAGGCAGCTGCGGGAGGCCAACAAGATGACGCAGGTGGGGGGGAGGGGGCTGGGGGGAGGGAAGTGCGGTGTGTGGGTTTGTGTGTGTGTAGGAGGTGAAGGGGATGATGAGCTGTGTTGACTTCTCCCCGCCCAGCCTCGGCTCCATTCCATACGCTGGCTTGGGATGTGCTTGTGTGTGTATGTATGTGCGTCCTCACCTTCACATGGGCTTGCCTATGATTTCCCTCCTCTTGTGGCTCCCCTCCCCCTCCCCCTCCCCCCTTATCCTCTGCTTTACTACTTTTCCGCCGCCTTCACACCTACTTTTCTACACCTACTTTTTTACGGCTTGGCAATACTATTTCTTCTTTTTTAGTTCTGGTGGCGTAGGTAGGTAGTCTTTCCGACATCTTCTTCACTTCGTCATCCCGAGGTCACGGTCTCCAAGGACGCCTTTCGGTCAGTTCTACGTTTGATACTCTCTTGCCCTGGCAGCAGCTTCAATCGTGTGTGGTTCGTCTTTCCCCCCCCTTCTCCTCCCCCACCCCTGTGGTAACTATCCCCCACTTTGTGTGTACCTCCATAACCCCACATCCTCCCCCAAAACACACAACCCCCACGTTTCCCCCCCAACCCCCCTGAGGTCTGTAGCAGCGGCTGCTGGCCTCGGAGGTGCGGATGTCGCCCAAGGTACGTCTGACCGCCCCTGTGTGGGACCCGGTCTACGAGCCCGGGAGACCGGGAGGAAAGAGGGATGGAAGGGAGGGTTTTAGGGTCCATAAAATGTGTCGAGGTTTTAGGGTTTGGGGGTTTTGGGGTGTATTTTTTGGTCAATGACCCACGGGTCGGTTGGTGCTTTACTCAAGCAACTCCTAACGCTTCACTGCAGTTCCTTTTGATTTAATGCGGACTTAACTTAGGGTAACACGTGCTACTTAGGGATGGGCGATGACCCATGGGTCGGTTGTGTCTCAGGTGGCGGAGTGGGCGGAGGATGTCCTGCTGTGGGACGAGGAGCTCGGATACCCTGATGGCCGGCTGCCGCCACCACCACCAGCACCACCACCACCACCACCAGCAGGGGGGGCCCGTGGTGGGGGTGGGGCTGGGAGCAACAAGAAGCCGACCGGCAGTTCTCCAAAGGGGGGGCAGCAGGGGAAGGGGGGGAGGGGGTAGCAAGGGAGGGAGGGGAGGGGGTAGCAAGGGTGCAAACCCAACCGCCAGCAAAGGGACCCCCCGGAGACCATAGCAGTGGTGGTCCCAGCAGTGGTGACACTCGCACCAACTGGTGACGGGGGCGCAGTGGCCTGCCTTCGGTCCAAATCCTGGGAGGTCTGTTGGACCTGAAGGGCAGGTTGCGAAGTGTTCTGGATGCGCGGTGTGCATCGCTGAAGCGAGTAACGCGGCCTTGCACAAGTTCTCTCTGAGTCGCTGAGGGCACAGAGCCAGTGCATGTGTTTGTGTGTATATATGTGTGTGTGTGTTTTAGTTGGGGGTTTATGAGGGGGGAAGGACCTGGAACGGTTGCAGCTGCCCTGGGGCGACCATATCGCATGATGTATCTCCTAAGGACAACAGTTTGTTGCACAGCCATAGCCGATTGCTAAGAACGCTAAGAAGTGGTGATTGGCTAGTGAGACATCTGTGTGTGTGTGTGTTTCCTATCGGCGACTGCATGAGGCTGATGACGACGCTGGTGTGGCCGATGACGCTGGTGTGGCAGATGACTGATGAGGCGGGTGTGGGTGAAAGTCACCTAGCAGTCATTCGGTTTTTGCAGGGGGGGAGGTGGGGAGAGGCGCCTGGGGGGTTGTGAACCAGATGTTTTACGTTCTTCTTACGTTCTTCTTCTTCTTCTTCTTCTTCCTGCTGCTGCTGCTGCTGCTGCTGCTCGAACGGTTAGGGGGAGGTCCGGGTGCAGGTCTTTACGGCGATTATAAAACCCAAATTGATTCGGAAAACATTGCTGGATTGGAAGTTCAAACTTAGGCGAAATGGAATGCATCGAGCGCTTCGGCGTTTTTTCTTGGCCGAGCAGAACGTAGTGGAACGGCGCATATCAGGGTTGTGGAGGTATAACCCTGTTTCTGAATCCGCGCGACATTCCTACAGTTGTAGTGGACTGTGCCGCATGAGGACAATATCCAGCAGTGGTCAGTGGAGCAGAGCATGCGCTTTCAAAGTTGTCCGTACGGACCTATCAGATGTCAGTAACCCACCCTCTGGCCAGAAAATCTGGCTCTTAATCATTATGGAGACACCATTCTGTTGGCGGAGCTCCAAAACTTAGCTTTTTGTAAGTGTGTACACGCCCGGTTAAATTCGGTTACACCATGGTCTAACGTATGGGTTTCCAGGTTGGCCACCTAAGCTGAGAGATGCATTCTTGAAATGGCACATGAGCAAATCTCACAACAGGAGATACTGCAAAAATGTGTAAAAGAACACTGCTGTTACGTTTTTAATCGGGTTGGAGGTTAAGAAATGCTCTAAAGCTGCCTCAGCGATAAACAGGTGATTTACAGATTAAAACGTTGGGTACAAGAGAATATTTGCCGGAAAATGTAAGTACTGTGCGCTTGCTGTTTAAAGTGCCCCGGTATGGCTCGTAAACTGAACAGCGCATGGACGCCTCCAAAAAAAACTCCAAATGAGTGGTATGAAAACAAAATACGTGCCATGAAAAAATTGCGTTGCTCTCAGTGCTGCAGGCACGTTTTGTGCTCTCTGCGATAGAGGTGCGGCCGGTGTTGGGCGTCGCTTCGACTGAAGCTCCAGAAGCGAAAACTGCAAATCCTGCATTCATGACCTAAATATCGCGAACACGTTTAACGCTAACATCAAAGAGTCGTAGCAGGCCCCACGTTACAAGATGTTATACTTAAATCGTATAAGCTCGTCCGGGTGCTTCCCAGCTTGCCGCAGAGGATAATGAAACAAGTGTATATTGTGCAATAAATTGGAAGCGATCGCATTTTGAGCGCGCCACAATTACTCCAGCTCATGACGTCGTTATGTCCACCCCCTTTATACTTGCATATAATAAGTTCCAGTAACGCAGGAGCTTTGATCGGATAGCTTTTTCCATGACACCTGGGATTGATGGAACTAAGTGATGCAAAAAGGGGGATTCCGTTCTCCGTACTTGACGCGAAGTTCAACTTTGCATGATGTCCAGGTATCAGGGACTTCATATTTCAGCGAACCCTAAGTAAATCTTGTTACGCTATACTGCATCATCTGGTACTTAAATACAAGAAAAGCTTGCCGTTAACGACGTCGCTTACCGACGCCTTGCCGAGCGCCTGAACCGTCATGCTAACGTAAACGACCTTGATGGCACGGAATAAAAGGAAAGATATTGAGGCGATGCCTGGACAGAGGACTTTGTTTGATAACCAGTTGTTTGCACAGGTGCGCAACCGTGGTGCCAACGTGGCTATGCGTTGCTATGAGCGCGTATCCCGAATATTAGCTTGAAACTCTTTATTCATCGTCGTAAGCATTGATGGTCCGATGCAAACCTCACATGAGCCCATCGCATCCGTCACTTGCAGGAGCCAACGATGGCACTCCGAGGAAATGGTGGCCTCACTACACGCATCCTTAAGACATGCTGCATGGGAGCAGCAGCATCTTCCACAAAGAGCCCAATGTAAGGTTTCAAACCGCGTCATGCCTACGATAACAACGTGCTCCAACAAGCAAATGGTGCATGATTATGTATAAATATATTTTATGCAGTTCTTCAGCCTGATTAAAAATGCCTTTCGTTCTGGATGGGGAAAAACGTCAACCTCATAGGACCTCTCATCACATCTTAGACGCGCGGTCATGCGAATATAGCACATCAACCCCAACGACTGGTCGTCCGCCCACTCTCCCCATCCCAATATATCTAACAACGCTTTGCAGGGGGTCTAAACCGCGTGTCCAGGGCGGCTGGGAGGACTGCCCGGCGTTCGATCTCGAACCCTTGGACTCACGGCAAGCCTCCGCCATCGGCAGCGTTACCACACAGCAACCCCGTCAGGCCCTCAAAAACAACTCCAGCGACAACCGCAGCACATACTACTTGCAACTGAAGCAGGTGCCGGTCGGGGAAGCCGAACAGATACAGCCCGGCAGTCTCCCCGACTCCCCACTTCGCACACCCGCCGTTAAAGCCCTGAGCGGCCCCGAACCCTCCGTCGCCGCCTCCACCATCCACACCGCCAACTACACCACCACCACACCGCCGCCACCACCCGGGGAAGGCGACGCACCGCCGTCCACGGTACTCACACCCGTCGTCTCCATACAGGAGCACCCGCAAGCTGCGGCTGCAACAGCCGCAAAGGTCCAGGGGGGTTCCGGCGGCCACTCCCGGCCCCCGCCCCTCTCCCTCCTGCCGCCATCTTCCCCCCGCGACAGCGCAGCAGATATGATGTACGGCACCGCCGCTACCACCACTAGCACAGGCGAGTACGAGACCTTCTTGCCCACCGGCGACTCCCCCAGGTCCCAATCCCCCGTGCCGCCAGCTCAGCGGCCATCCACCGCCATGCAGCACCGAGTGGCGCTACGGCTACTAGAGCGGCGAGGAGTACTGCCAGACGGCGGTCGTAGCACTTGTAGTCCTGGATCTGGATCTGGATCTGGATCTGGATCTGGATTCTGCGGCAGTAGCTTGGCAGCAGATGGCGGCCTGCCGACTGCCTCCTCGCAGCGATTGTATTCGCCGACGTCGCCGCAGTTGTCGCTTCTGTCGCCGCCGCCAGCGCCGCCGCTATCGCCGGGGTTGGGTAGCAGTGCCGTTGGAAGCCCCATTACTCCCGCTTTGGGCTCGCCCACGATGTGCATGTCCCCTGGTCCCGTCGCGCGAACTTCAAATGGTACGGAATACTACAGCGCGCTCGGCTCCCCGGCGCCCAGCGGTGTGGCAGGGCTTGAAAGCCCTGCTAGAGCCGCTGGCGGCGGCGCCGCCGGTGACGTCGAGACGGTCGTGGAGGTGGACGAGCGGCTGTGCCTCCAAGAGGAGGAGTACGACCCGCTTGACGTACGAGGAGAAGCATATCGCATGTCGGCACCGGGACTCGGACTTCGGAGCGCTGCGTGGGGAGGGCCGGAGGGTATGGGCATAGGAGGCGGCGGCGCTGCCGCCGCGGCCCGCAACGCCGGTGGCGCCGCCGCTGCCAACGGACGCTTCCCCGCCATCGACAGCGTGGCCGACGACTTGGTGATGCGCATGCGTGGCTCGGATTTCGGCATTGCGGGCGGTACGGTGCCGGAGGCGGTTTACGTACGAGCTCGCGGCCTCCGCGCCGCCGCCGCCACCGCCAACGGCGAGCTTCAGCACCCGCACAGCCCTCTCGCCGCGGCGGCTGCCGGCGACGGCACACCGCGTAGCGCCGTCATACTTGTTAGCCCCGACGGCGCCGACGACCCTGGCAGCCATGCCCTGGCAGCCGGCGGCGGCGGCGGGACGCTGCGTCGCGGCACGCCGCCACCCGCCTGGTCCGCCGCCGGCGGTCGCGATGAGCTTAGTCAGGAGGAGAAGGAGTGGCTGTTTGGTCAGCCGGGGGGTATTGGCGGCCTGGCGCCCGTGGTGGCGCTGGGTGAGGGGGGCGAGGGCCTAGTCGACCTGGTTCGGTTGACGCTGCCGGGGAGAACTGTTCACTTGGCACGTAAGGCCACGCGCACGTGTTTGCCTGTGTTTGCGCTGTCGACGACGACGGGGGCGGCGGCGGCGGTGCTGGCAGGCGTTCGGTCGCAGCAGAAGGTCAGCTACCGGTTTCCTTTTGAGTTTTTCGACCGGGAGGTGAAGGCGATGAAGGCGGTGAAGGACAGCGGCTTTGTCATTCGATTCCAGGTGTGTGTGTGGGGGGGGGACCACATTACCGTATGGGGGGAGAGAAGGGAGGAAAGAGGAGATACTTCCCATCTGGGTTGTAGGCGTGATTTTTTGTAGGTGGATGGCGTTGAAGGCCGTTCAAGTTGGGACTAAGTTGATGAGTCGTGTCTCTGTGCGGAGCATGTGTAGGTGTAGGCGTGTGTGCGGGTTTGTGTGGGCAATGCTGGCTGAGAGGGAGGGAAGGAGGGGCCGGGGTGGGGGTGAAGGGGGGGGAAGGGGGGGGAAGCTTGGATATGTGATTGGAAGTTGGGGAGCGGGACGGCCACCGAAGCAGACAGACAGACAGACAGACAGACAGACACGCGGCTCGAACCATGGATAGATGCATACATACATACATGTATAGGGTTTGGCACTACTGGTAAGGCGCGACCATTGCCCCCGGGAGATCCCGGGATCGATACCCATTAGGGTCAAAGTCCTTCCGATGGTGGAAGGCATTGCGCCCCTAGTTGATGGACGGTGGTGACCTGGGATAAAGTTAACCTGCGAGCCGACCAGGAATGGAGTTGGGCCGCTGTCGACCCGGCAGATTCTGTTGGATGCTGGTGGTGGGTGCGGAACCTGAGCGATCCACTGAGAAGTTGACTAGGGTGACTGGATGAGGGTGCCCCGAAATACCGGGGAAGGCAGGGTTTCGCAGGGTAGCTGCCACGGGCGAAGATACACCCCCCCTGTTTCACACATACATACATACATACAAACGCGCATCCGTTATGACGCACACACAGCTTGCCTCCCCCGGAGCTCTCTCCCGCCAGCTCTCCACCATCACAGGGTGGGTTATCGCACTACGTGTATGCTAACCTCCCGCCGTGTCGTACCATGTCGTGCGGTGCCTCGTACAGGCTGCATCGTACGACCACGAGGCGGGCCAGGGGTTCATCCTTATGGAAGCCGCTCCGTACGGCACATTGGAAGACCTCCACGCGGTAAGAGGGTTTTGCTTTTGTGGGTACGTTCCCACGGAGGTGTGGGCGGGCGCGTACGGACGGGACACATACACAAACACACACACACACACGCCCCTCCCCCCAACCTGATGATTAGCCGGGTTTTCCTCTCTCTCCTCTCCCCTGCCCCTTGCTCCGGGGCACGACCAAGCAGCTTTCACCGACGCCCCCAAGCCCCGTCTCCCCTCACACCCCAAACCCCGTCTCCCCCCACACCCCAAACCCCGTCTCCCCCCACACCCCAAACCCCGTCTCCTCCACACCCCAAACCCCAAACCCCGTCTCCCCCCAAACCCCAAACCCGTCTCCCACCAAACCCCAAACCCGTCTCCCACCAAACCTCAAACCCCGTCTCCCCCCAAACCCCAAACCCGTCTCCCCCCAAATCCCAAACCCGTCTCCCCCCCAACCCCAAACCCCGTCTCCCACCAAACCCCGCACCCCAGGCCCTCTGCCGAAGCCAGCTGCAGCCCAGGGTGCAGCGACAACGTCCCGCTCTCCTGCAGAGAGCATTTGCCAAGTTCAACTTCACACATGCCAAGTCCTCCGCACCGCCCTCTCTGTTGGGAGGTGGCGGCGGCGGCGGCACCCCAAACGGCTCCGTCAGGGGGGGTAAAACAGCCGCGCAAGGGAGCCTCTCTTCGCCGCACAGCCCGAGGAGTGGCGGCGGCGGCGGCGGCTTTGGTTCAGGTGGCGGCGCCGCCGCGTTGGAAGGGTCAGTGGCGGATCCCGATGGCGGCGGCGGCGGCGTGTGCTGTCCAGCGTTGTCGGCTGCGGCGCCGTCGGGGGATGGCGGCGGCGGCCCCATGGCTGCTGGTGTCGGCGGTGGCGGTGTTGGCACTATGCATATTGCGGCGCTGGGCAGTTCCTTGATGAGTACGAGAGCCCTGAGATATTACGGCGCGTGTATGCTGCAGGTACGGCAGCCCTCCGGGGTTTCGGGAGGTTGGGTGGCCCATACATACATGCATACGTACATACGTACATAACCCGTCCCCGTCCTCCCCTCGCCATCTGACCCCCCCACACACACACACACTCGCATACATACATACATACATACATACATACATACATACATACATACATACATACATACATACATACATACATACATACATACATACATACATATGGTGGTGGGGGTGGTAGGGAGGTCGAGAGGGAGGTTGAATGGGAAGATTGCGAGGGGTGCGGGATCAGGGATGGGGCTTGGGGGGTGCCGCGCAAGGGGAGATGGGGGAGGGAGGGTTCTTTTGCCTGGGGGAGCCGTACCGGCGGAGGGGGGGGAGAGACCGGGGAAAGGGCGGGGAGAGCCGGGGGGGGAGGGGAAGAGGCAGAGAGAGCACCAGGAGGATGTAGGGTTGGGGGGTGGTGAGTGGAAACAGGTGGCCGTAGCGAGGGCGCGGATGAGGGGGAGGGGGGCACCCAGAAGGGGGGGCCGTACTCGAAGGTGCGCGCGTGGTGCAGGACTAGGTTCTTCAGGGTACGAGACCGGGTTTCGCGTGTTGCGGCGTCTAGGTGAGATAGGATCTTGGAAACCAGCCGTCTTGGTAGAGCGGTAATGGGGGGGCGCCGAGCTGGCTACCCTCCCCCCCTGTGGTTTTTCGGAGGCTTGATCGCCCGGCGCTGCCGCAGGGTCTCCCCGTTTGAGTACTTTTCCAGTTAGACCCAGTGCTGTGGAAGGGCGCGGACTTGTGCGGTGTTATCCCCCCGACGGGTGCTATCTCCCCTGGACTAGCCCAGGGAGGGAGAGGCGGAGGAGGGTAGTAGTCTCAGGAGGCTGTTGG